GTTTTCTATTGACTTGATGCATTGTTTCACCATGACACTGGAATCTATAGTTTTATAAGGAAGTGAAAGTAATAGAGTATAAAGGTTTTTGGTGAAACTAAATAGGAATAATGGTCTGTGAGAATTGTGAACCAAATTTATGCTGTTAGCATATTATCATAACTAATTATTATATATTTTATTTTAAAAATATTTTGCTAAGTTTTCCATGTCATGTCCATCCTTTGGGTCTTTGAGAGTTTTTTCCACTCATTCTGTGATAAATTTGAAAGCAGCCAAAGGAAACWCACAATCACAAAATCACAATGAGACAGCATTCGAAATGAATTGTAACAACATCCTGAGGACTAGTGGGTTCTGTTCAGTTTGGGCCAGTAGTAGACGGCAGAGGAAGAGGAAGACCACAGAAATTCAGATTTACACGTTGAAACTTGGAAATGAAAGAAACTTCTGAAGGTGAGGGTATTGGGATGAATTTCTTTTGAACTTCAAATGTGGAGGAATTATATACAGTGTTCTTTGTTTAAGGGATTTAGAGTCAAATCAGGGCGAACAAGGTAACTTAAAAATGTCTGTAACAGAGCTGATAGTGCTTKGAGATCTTTGTTCAGTTAACTTGGCTTCCTTCCCTTCTGGCTGCTGTCCTTGTTCTTCTCCCTCTAACCCTTGCWGGGATTTTCAATTTAGTGGAGGTTCACAAGGACGTTTTTGTGATGAACCATGGCAACCCTTAGGCCTGGCTCAACACCATGCAGGTTTTATGTTCCTAAAAACTCCTAGAGGAAATTGGCTAAATATTTTTTCAAAAGACAATTCTGTCTCAGAGAGAACTGTTGATGAGACATGTTACCTGAAAGAGAAATCTRGTATACTTCCAATGGAGGATGTTCTGTTTCAATATAGAAAACCTGGGAAAAAAGTCAAGCATATAATTTTTAAAAAGTGATGGCATTGAATATTTCTCACTCCAACTGTATAGATCTTGACATGTGGAACTGAAGGACAGAGCCTATCAGTAGGAATGATGTCTCTGGCTTTTTTTAATTTTCTARACACTGGGCTCCCTTCAGAAGCATATTTGAGTTAGGGAGGATGGTCTGGGCAAATAGAGCTGGGCCTTTGTTCTAGTTTCTGTTGCRTCTCACTTTCCTTGTACTTCCAACTATCAAATCGTGAACTAACTAGGCAGGAAGATGTGGAGGAAGCACTGTGTCCTGTTACTTTAACTCACCAAGCAGACAGTTTTGGGGTTTTATTTCCGTGACATTGGGAAGGAAATAAAAAGAATAAAAGAAGTGCCCTAACTACATGAGTGGTATCAGTAAGGAATCCGTGTTTCTAGAACTGGGTGCAGTGATGCACACCTGTAATCCCAGCAACTCRGGAGACTGAGGCAGGAGGATTGCAAATTAAAGACCAGCCTCATCAATTTAGCAAGATCATAAACAACTTAGTGAGACCCTAAGTCTCAAGATTTAAAAATAAAAAGGGGCTAGGGATGTGGCTCAGTGGTAAA